GCTCCCTCGTGGTGTGATGTTGTCGAATGTTCGCACCATGTTTTATGACAAAGGCCTCTGTGTTAGCTCAACAACTCACTTATGTTGTCTTTGGCATCCCATCCTGTCTTGCTGTAAATGTTGCATACAGCAGCTAAGTTCACCTACAAGTAACCTAGGAGAGGGCAGAAACTGACAGAGAGAAAGGGAGAAAAATATATATTTCATTTTTTTTTAACAGTTTTAAGTTGCCTTTGATGGACATTAATATCATCATAGATGTTAGGTGTTGTTGGGGCTCTAGATAAGGTACATTGGTTGTCCACCAACAGACTGTATGTGGTTTGATCTCCGGCTGTTCTGGTTAGCTTTTCAAAGTGTCCCTGGGCAAGATACTGAACCCCAATTTCTCCTGAAGGCATGTGAATGTCTGTCCTGATGCGCAGGTGGCCCTGTGTATGGTGGCCCTGTGTAGGGTAGCCTTTGCCTCTTTATAAATGTGGGTTAATGCTGACATGTGTTAAGCACCAACAATTGTCAAATGCAGTTTATTTGCCACCACTGTTAGCCAGATCACTCCCATTAGTCATTTAGTTGGAATGCTGATACAGCATTCCAACTACTTGTTATGCTACGCACAAAATTTCTTTATTATTCCGCCGGGTTATTTTGGCCGTCTTCTTCTCCCACATTCCACATCGCAGAAACTCCGTTCAAACATCAAAACGTTCAGCTCGGTCGGGAATCGATTGCTATTACTTTTCTCATTCATAACTTTCATAATTCCCGAGATATATCCCATAATTCATCAAATGTTTAACATGAAAGTCAATGGAGAATCTCTTCAGACTTGAAAAATATTCATGCGACTTCAACTGCTAACTGTTCCTTCATACTTTCACTCAGAAACCTCATTCCAACTTTAAAATGTTACACATCTTTCCGACATTATTCATATTAAACAACTTTTAAATCGGATTCATACTTTTAGAAATATTAAACATTGTTCAGACCTTGGTAAAGAGGCCTTCTTCAGATTTTAACATTAGTGTGTATTGCGCAGCTCGTTAACGCTAGAGTGTGTGTGATCTCAAAGCTAGAGTGGAGGACAGCTTGAAATTCTGTTTAAACCTGCCATAATTCCCAAACCCTACACTCCTGAGACATAATTTTCTCAAAATGCCTCTTGAGGGCATGAAGTGACAAAAACTTTCAACATGTCTCCATTAAAGCCAATTGTAAATTCAAGCTGATCTTTACTCACAGCAGCAGCCGCTAGGGTTGGGAACCGAAACTCGGTTCCAGATGAGAACCGATAAGAAAATGCCGGGTACCCATACAAAATACACAATTTCGGTTCTGCTTAACGGTTCCTAAACGCGGTAGACCCTGTATTCCACCGGGTCCGTCGGCGCCGCGGTGACCCGGGGGAATACAGGGTAAGGGCGGACTGGCCATCTGTGTGTTCTGGAGAATCACAGAACGGCCGGTCGTCAGCGGGGCGTTGACGGCCGGCTCGGTACGCTGACGGCCGGCACCGCCCTTACTTTTTAAAAACGGCATCATGTAAGTTGCGCTGACAGGCGAGAGAGGTCCACAGTTGCCCCGCAGCGATGCTCCCCCCGCCCTCCCGTAGACAGTTCACGAGCTCAGTCACTTCATAACACCAAAGATGGATCGCGGTAAACGCTCTAAAGTGAGGCTCCACTACACTAAAAAAGAAAAAGACAAGGCACAGTGTAATGCCTGTTAATAGCTTGCCACAGGCATAGCTCAGTTAAAATAAAGCACAGCTATTGTGCAATACATTTGTATTGCGTGTATATTTTTTATTTGTAAAAATGTCAGTTAAAGCTTAAAAGAATAAAGATATTTTTGTTATCTAAACGTTTGACCTCTTTCTTTTACAATTTTGGAATTGAAACGGGGAATCGATAAGAACCGGAATCGATAAGCAGAACCGGAATCGATACATTTCAAACGATACCCATCCCTAGCAGCCGCACACCTTTAGTTAATCTGCCAAAAAGGCCACATTATTAACCCGAAAGTACACAAAAAGCACACTTCAGATGCTCAAATTCCTTGAGATGCTTCACACGTTAAAATTTCACCGATATCTGTTACGGTTCTTCAACAAAACGTTCACATGTAAGAGGTTTATCTCTCATTCAGAACAATGAAAAGGCTCTCCTCTCACTGATTACTGCACATCACCATGGAAACCTTTGATCTCTGGACACACACACAGCTGTCTCATTATGTCGTTAGCTCAAATATAAACACCTGTGTCATGGAACACGATGATGTCATAACTCCAACTGGCATGCTCAGAGCAGCAGACTTCAGATAATGGTTAACACGGCTCTACATCAAATCTGAAGCTACGTAATGTGGTGTTACTATGGTAACGCATCCCTCGCCATAAAACAGCAGCAGACTTCAGATAATGGTTAATGGTGATGATGCCCTCAACAGCTCTACGTCAATTATGGGGTGTCATCATATGCCGTTTCCATGGAAATGCATCCCTCGCCATAAAACACTATGTTGTCGTAACGCCTATGAAAAGGGTCAAAACAGCACCAGACTTCAGATAATGGTTAATGCTCCAGCCCTCAACATGTCTATGTACCAATAGTGAGTTTTCCTCAAAAGCTGTTGCCATGGCAATGCATCCCTCGCAATAAAACACGATATTGCTATAACTCCTATGAAAATGTTCAAAAAGTGCTCAAACTTCACATATGTGCTAACAGTCCAGCCGTGAAGACATCTACGGGACAGTTTTGAGATTTCCTCAAATGCCGTTGCCATGGCAACCCAATGCTCGCCATGAAACACGGTTTTCTCATAACTTCAGTGAAAATGCTCCAAACGGCCCAAAACTTCACAGGTTTGGTAACGATGCAGCCATCAACACATCTAAGCGTATTATGGGGTGTCATCAAATTTCTTTGCCATGGCGACAGATCATTCGCCATCAAGTTAGTTCAAAAGATTGCAGTTCAAATATTCTGCTGCTTTTCCAAGTCTTTTTACTTTCTTTTCTTCTCTCATCACACATTCAATCTAAATTCTTCACTTTCTTGTTACACATTACATTTCAGCATAGCAATTCAGCGTCAGCTTTTCAGCATAAAGCGTACCCACTAGCAATTTCTTCAGGAATTGCATTCTCTAGTTTTCTCTCATATTCCAAATCCCAGCCTGCCAGGCTTTGCTCATAGCAGACAGAAAGGTGCATAAAACATTTATCCTGGCTCTTATACAGCAAGTTATCAAGATTGACACAGAATGAAAAACATTTAATTTGTGCTTTTGCAGTCAATTGGTTCGTTGTTCTTCCACTCATTAGTGTTGCCACCTAAGAGTGTGTGTGTATTTGATGTTCAGTGTGTGTCAGTGGGTCACCCAGCTGTGGTGTTATTTATGAGTCAGGGTAGTATGTGAGGTTACTGAAGCAGATCATTGTGAGGTTCAGCTGAGGACATGAAGTCATCAGAAGCATCCAGATCAGCTACAGTAATAGCTACCAACACACATTCCCACATTAAGGTTGTCTGTTTAATTGCTGTTGTTGCCAATGACTGATTTCACCTGTATGTAATTATTATTTAATTAAAGCCTATTATTTCTCAATGACCTCAAGGCTTCCACTCAATGTGAACTGTTTTTATATGCAGATGACTCTGCAATGCTGGTTTCCATAATGATACAAACTTAAAGTATGCTGAGTGTATTACTTTTTAATGTATGTGGATGACAGATAACAAACTGTCACTCCCCCATCAAATGGAATACATTATTTTTGGGTCAATGGTAAAATTGAAGAGATCATAAGCCATATGTCAGGAGTGGGCCAGGCTGTCAAGCTGCTCACAAAGGTCGATCACAGAATACATTTCTTAGGCAAGGTTTCAACATTTCTGGATATAAAAGCAATTGTGGCGCTGGCAGTTTTCTATCCAGCCTTATTTTGACTATGCCTGCTGTTTATTGCACCATGAGTTTACTTCACACTTTCACAAACATGTCTAAATAGGGCAATTGGGGTTATTATTTATGAGCTTTGTGTGGTTGAAAGTAAAGAAAACAGCTTCTCAGATTGAGTTGTGCATCGTTCATAGGATATGCATGTGCCTGCCCCTCAATGGCTTAACACATATGAAATACAGATGCTTTTCTTAGCCGTTCCATCAGGGTTTTTCTACTGGTTTTGATGCTCCCATAGGTCTAACTGTGAATTATAACTTTTCTGTACATGACAGTTAATCCGTGGTACACCCCCGAAGGGACCCCAACAAGCCTTAAGGTCATTTCATGTTCTGCACCTGCTGTGCTGAGCCGGTGTTCATTTGAAAAATATGGTCTTCTATTAAATCAATAAATTAATCTGCAAGTCAATAGCCAGAGATTGAAACAGTACCACCGCTGCCGACACCTTCACCCTCTACTCGATGTAGAAATTATTGCTGTAAATAGCTTTCTGTAACTGCTCTTGCTGCTCCTAACTGCCTTCTGTTGCTAACTGTTATAGCTGTTGCAAAGGTTGTTGTTAACTGATTTCTGTCGCTAACGTCCATTAGTGTTGCAAACTTGTTCTACCAGGCCGGCTGCAAACACGGTGGTCTTACTATATCAAATGACCTCATTACTCTATACCAGGATTTCAATATACTATTTTACATATTTGTAGAAGATAACACTGAACAATGAATTGAATACAGACTCAGAAGGAAATTATACCATTGTTTGTAATTGTAACCTTTGTGTATCATTGTTACTTCTCTTAATACTTAGCCAGAGGAATTATTATTTCTTATGGTTTATATATGGCTACTTATCTATTTATGATAGGGTTGGGAGAAGCATTACAAATAATGACACCAATGACACGCATCACTATGCAGCAGTAAAGTTGGTGCCTGAGCTGACTGTTAATTAAACTCATACCTGTCCTCTTCCTGCAGCTTCCTCCCTTCACCTCTCTCTGTCTTTCTCCCCCTTTCCTCTCACAGAGACAGTGATGGATACAAGGACGGCCACAGCAGAGCTTGGCTGGATCTCGTTCCCTGCCAATGGGGTAAGAACAACGTGCAGAGGTGTACTGGGTCTGTGTGTGTGTTTGAGGTATATGCATGCATGTGTATAGGTGTTAGGGCTGCTCGATTATGGCAAAAATCCTAATCACGATTATTTTTCGTCAATATTAATATCACAATTATTAAATACGATTGTTCATTGACTTTGAAAACATCCATTTATTGAATTTTTAAAAATAAATAATAATAATTTGAACAGTGTGTTTTTAACAGTTGATTACCCTGAACTTTAAGTATAATTCAACTGAAAAACCAATGCAAATAAATAAGAATTATACATTTATATCTACATTTAACTAAATAATATCAAAAATAATAAATACCAATAAATAAAGAGATTAAAATACGATTAATTGCACAGCCCTAATAGGTGTGTGCACCGTTGGAGAAAACAGTTTGAGTACACCTTGCGGCGCTCCATTAAGGACTCCGTCACAATCTTAATTACAGTCACAAGGTGACACCAATTAATCGCTATTGATGCAGAGTTGAATGGATTCCAGAGAATCACGGAGGTGTACATTAAAAGGGTCCGCCAGCGACAGATTCATAAAATAGAGTAAAATAAAAAAAGAGCAGTATAGAATTAAAGAGGATATGTTCTTTAACTGGCTTTCTTCTTTCTTTCTTTTTATAAATGCTGGCTTGGCTGCTAGCTGGTAACAATGGTCTGCTGCCTGTGGGTGTATGTGTGTTAGAGGTGAGCAGCTGTAATTGTGATGAATGGTTGTCCCTCTTCAAAAAAGGTGAGAGGAGAGAAAAAAAAGTATAGTAGGGAGGGAAGTGGAGAGGTACAAAAAGAGAGCGAGAGACAAAATGGGAAGGAGGGAAAGATAAAGTTTAATTTGTGTCAGGTCTTGGTAAACCCATTAATCATGTTGGCCTCTCCTCTCCCCTATTCCCCTACTTCCTCCCCTCTCATCCCTCCTCTGTTACCCTTCCACACACACACACACACACACACACACACACACACACACACACACACACACACACACACACACACACACACACACACACACACACACACACACACACACACACACCCCCAGTGGGAGGAGGTGAGTGGCTACGATGAGAACCTCAACACCATCAGGACGTACCAGGTGTGCAACGTGTTTGAGCCGAGCCAGAACAACTGGCTTCTCACGACTTACATCGACCGGCGGGCGGCGCAGCGCATCTACGTGGAGATCCGCTTCACCGTCCGCGACTGCGCCTCCATCCCCAGCGTTCTGGGCTCCTGCAAGGAGACCTTCAACCTGTACTACCTGGAGACTGAGAGGGCCGTGTCAGAGGGCATCAAAGGGGTGGAGTACTGGGCCAATGCCCCTTTCCTTAAGGTATTGCAAAGTGTGAAGAGCTGCTGGCTTTGGAAGTATTTGCCACACTAAAAATGTGCCTTTCAAAATAACATTTCAATGATGCTCAATGTCACTGAACACACCCAAGATGCTGATTCTGTTTAACTATGTTATGGTCATCGTTTGAATTCATTTCAAATGTTCTCGTGTCCTTTCTCACGTTTATTGGTCGTGGTAAATGCGGGAAAACTAAAACGGGCAGTATACTGGATTCAAAAAAACCTATTTGATTATCCGAAAAATGCTGATTCACAAAGCTGTTTTTGTTTTATTAGTCCATGAAAAGTAGTAATTTGACAATGTGCAATCCAGAAGAAAACAATTCACTATTCCCAAATTGATTAAGAATCCACAAGGTTAATTGATCAAAGTCTAGAAAGATCTAACTGCCTGTGTTTGTGTTTTTTCCACTGTTGTAAATCTCCTAGCAGCCTTCTCTGGGGCTATTGTCAAGGTTCACTACATAAATAAAGAGCAAATCATTACTAAACTCTAAGATGAGGTTATTCTGTATTATACAGAAAATACCAAACATTACTTATCTAAATATTTCAAATATAATTGTATCTAAAGTAATAACAAAAGCTCAGGGACAGTAAAACCTTTTTTAACTCCCCTAGCTTTCTTCTGGCTTTGCTAACCTTCCCTCTCTCTGTATGTCAATGTAAGGTGGATACCATCGCAGCAGATGAGAGTTTCTCCCAGGTTGATTTTGGGGGAAGACTAATGAAGGTGAACACAGAAGTTAGGAGTTTTGGACCGTTGTCCAAAGGCAAAGGTTTCCACTTGGCCTTCCAGGATCTTGGAGCCTGCATGTCCCTCCTGGCTGTCAGAGTGTTCTACAAGAAATGTCCCAGCGTGGTTCAGAACTTCGCTTTCTTCCCAGAGGTATGGACCAGAAACTGAAAACTGTGTGCTATTATCATCAGAATGTGGTGTAGTTGCTGGTGTATACAGACATTCAAGTAGACATTTCTTATGATTTTCTATACAGACACTGACTGGAGCAGAGTCCACCTCATTAGTCATCGCTAGAGGAAGTTGTATTCCCAACGCTGAGGAAGTCGACGTGCCCATAAAGCTCTATTGTAACGGAGATGGGGAGTGGATGGTGCCCATCGGCAGCTGCAGCTGCAAGGCGGGGTTTGAACCGGACAATGGCAACGTTTGCAGAGGTAAATCTGTGCATGAATGCCATGTATGCTAAATTATTTACATTTGTATTTCTTTAAACCTGCTCTGATGACCTTGTCGCACTTGCGTTTCATATTGTAGTAAAGGCTAACTAGCTGGTATGACAGCAAATCAATAACCAGCAATCGTGCTTTTCAGAATGAGCCATAGCAACAATGCTTTTGCATCTTGCAGTACTGTAGCTTATATGCATGCCAGAATTAACCAAAAATATTACATATTATATTACATGAAAAATACCTTTTGAACAAATTGTGTGCATATATATGCTCTTTGTTTTCCAGTCACTATGACAAACGTGCCATAATTACATCCTGGCTTGGTTTACCAGCTGGACTACATGCTGAGTCCATTCTGAATAAAATAGAATATACAGTATCATACATGTCAGTCCTAGCTGTTTAAACGCATGCATTTATACACATTTTTCTTTTGCCCAACGGTACGCAATGTTCCAAATGTTCATATTAGTGGGAACAGACTCTGGTGAACATGGCACATAAATAGTCTGTTACCTCCTTTTTATATCTGCCCTCCTTCCCCATTTCCTCTACAAGACTACTCATCATTTATTATCCTGCCTGGAGAGTTTTGTGTGTGTCAGTGTGTGTAAGTGTGTGTGTGTGTGTGTGTGGGAGCGTGGATACATGTGTGTGTGATGTATGTACATGTGAAATTATAAGTGAATCCATTCCATCCCATGTTAATTAGTTTAGGGTGTTCAAGGCAGATTAGGCTGCCACAAATTATTCGCGAACTGCCAGAGAGGATCGAGGAGATGGAGGGGCATCAGGAAGGTAGGAATGAATAAAGGGAGGAAAATAAAGTAAAGCAGGAGAGCCCTCAGGAGAGTTGGTCTAGCAAGAAAGTAAAAAAAGGACAAACCAAGGACAGAAAGTAAAAAAACGGAGAGATACAAGTTATAGAGAAGATGGAAGCGACTGATGAATATCATTATTTCTCCAGTGAAACACAATAAATGTTAGATTTGCCTTTGGTGTCAGTGTCAATTTTCACAGTAATACTTTTTCTTCATGGAATATTTTAGTTGGTAAAAGCTAAGCCAGACACAATTCATGGTGAGACAGTGATTAAGGCTGACAATATTACAGTGATGATGACTGCACTGCGGAAAGAATTACTGTGAAATGTGGAAGTATAAAGTCTTACGACTCCTTTGGTCTGAAAGATACTGAGCGTATTATTGTTGCCCTTGAAAAACAAAACTCTTAATTACATATTGCAACACCTTTTATCACAATAATGATTTTCATATCATGTGTTAAATTGATTATTTATGCCAATACAAATGAAAAGAAAGTGTTGTTTTTTTACCAGTCCCTCTGTACCTACTGTACTTTGAGAAGTGCGCTGCTTGAACACTGCCATTGATTAGAAACAGCATTATTTCTGTGTTGGAGCTGGGTTTTGTCGTCAAGCAATGTATCTTAAAACATATATTAATATTTTAATATAGAGTTAAAATATCATTAACAACAAAATGTCCATTGCGGTTAGTGTTTCGATAAGGTTTAAATTGCTCAGCTGTACTAAAAAGTCTAACTGGATGGACTGATTTGTCGTGAATTTACAGTTTCTGTAGGCATGTACGTACACCTTCCACATGAGTTTTATTCAAGACTTTTGTTCTTAAACTGTGATTTAAGATGTTGCGGGCCAGAGCCTCTGGCAAACTGTCTTCACCGAGCTGGCATCTTTTTGGTGTGCACTTCTGCCCATTAGTTGATAACAACTTGGCAGGAAACTGGACTCACTATTAGAACAGATGGTTGTGTTTTGCATATTTATGTGTGTGTGTGTTAGGCCACAAAGATTGTATTTATTTTGCACCAAACCAGCATATTGTGCAAACCATCCGGCAAAACTGTTCCAACATCAAAGCACTCAAAGTGTGTTTGTTTCTGTGCGTGTGTGTAGGGGGGGTAAAATGTTCAAATAGACCCTTACTTCAAATGCACCACACTACAAATGTCAGCACTACCATTGAATACACACAAAGTACTCCTGCTGTGGCGCTGACACGGCTCTTAGAGTTTTGTGGTTGCTGTGTGACTCCACACAGCTGGCATTAAACAGAGAAACTGAGGCAATAGTCTTTTCTGCCCTCTGAGGTGCATCAGTTCATCCTCAAAAGCATTTTCGCCTTTCTCTCGACGCAAAATGTGCTATTAATATCTAACTGAATCGCAGGAAATACATTTGTACAACCTCTGGCTCTGCAAAAAGGAAGCCAATGAGGAAGTGCCTTAAACTTGTATTCTCTTAAATATATACATAAATAATTTAAGTTAAGTCTGACTTTTATAGAAGTCTATGAGAAAATGACCCAACTACCCTAGGAAAAGCAAAGATTTCCTAAAGTTTATGATTTTAGCCTCACAATTTTAGCCCTTTCAATACGGTTCTCAGTTCAGTGTAACATTTTGTTGGCCTAATAATGTCTTGTTCAGTGCTCAGTTGAACTTTGCTCCTCCTTGTTGAATTACTTCTGGTTCCAAAAAAACACAAGATGCTGACGGCTTAAACCAAAACCATAGTCAATAAACCAATAGTGACGTCCACTTCTGATCATTGGTGTGTGTTTGAATTCAGTGACGCAAAACAAATGCTACTCTATGTGTTTGCATGAAGATATGGAGAGAGCGGGGGAGAGAGAGAGAGAGAGAGAGAGAGAGAGATAACTGGAGAGACTTGTTGCCATGGTGACACGCCCCATGTGTATGAGCAAGGTTGTTGAATAAATGACCTTGACAAGCCAGATGTCACACACAGACACACAGACACACACACACACACACACACACACACACACACACACACACGCACAGACACACACAGACACACACACACACACACACACACACGCACAGGCACGTAATTGATGGATGACTTCAAAGAATGTCTCAATATAAATAAACTAACATACATGTAAAGTAACATGGACATATAGAGCAAAAGGAGAATTTACATTTCTGATAAAAATGGAGATTGAGGTAAACATATACGAACTAGCTGAGTATTAGAATATTGGAGAAGGAATAATGGATAAACCGTTTCCGGTAATATACATACTTTGCTAAAGTTAAAGGGTGCTTTAAACCTGCTTTCCGGAGGGGAGTACTGGTCATCCATTATTACATTGTCGCATTTGGTGTTGCCTTTCCAGACTCTAAACTGGGATGATGCATAGTCATGGTCGGCGTCTTGACACCTTAAGCTACTGTACAGGTTGGCCCAACTGCTTTTTACTCATAGAACCAGAAATAAATCATTTCATTGGCTAACAAACGATTAGCAAAGCACTGACCAATCATCAGTTGTGAGGGCGAACTTGAGTTAGCAAACAGTTGCTTTTACAGATCATTTATTTGGAGTCCTTGTTCTGGCCACTAAGAGTTGAAGTTCAATATTGACTCTTATTATTCTGTTTTTGGGCTGATGTTATTGTATATGAATTTTAGCTGCTTTGTCTGTTGTTTTTAGAATGTGTGCGCGAGCTTTCTCTGTCTGTCTTTACACAGCCAATCACCTGCTGAACTTCAGCCTCAAATTTAAACTAAATGTGCTCTCATTCTATGCATCTAGGTATGTACGTCTCTGAGAATCAGGGGATGGATAAACTTAGGATACATATTATTTATACTTAAGAAGAACTGTCAAATCACAGTAAATTAAGAAGTGAGATAATGTTTTAACCTCTACTGTTCGACAACATGAACACAGCCTGGCCTCCAAGGGTTCTCAGTCAATCAGAGTTTATAATGTCAACATAACGCAACAAGTATAGACAGTCGGGTCGGGTCGGCTCAGCTCTGGCGGGAAATTCCTGGTTGACAAAAAAACAGTCATCTAAATGTGTTCAATCCAACATTAAAGCAACTGCACTCTACTGAGAGCACATCTGTAGTTCTCAAAGTGATGACATTGTTACACCACGCTATCATTTGGGGCCAGCGATGTGTAAAGATGTTAATTTAATACAAGCTTGATCAAGTCCCGCTGTATGAGATGAAGTGTACTTCATACCTGAGATCTGAGTAGTTTCTTCAAGCTCTGTGGTTCATGCACAATGTAATCTGCAGTAAAACACAGAGGCAACGAAAAGCATCCTCTACCGTAGATCATGCTGGAACAAATGCATCAGCAAAAACCAAGAAATAACTGTATAACATTTCAGGAGAGTGAACACAATAGAGCAATACTGCAGAAATAGTGATACTGAGAGGGAGAAATACAAACAGCAGTTTCATTCTCCTCTGATTCATTTATTTTTTCTTGAGTGTTTGAGCATCAGTTTTTTTGTTTCCCCATGTTTTCTCTTTGAACACAATCTGCCCAACCCTTAAAACCTTTAGCGTTTGATTAAGTGAGACTCTGAGGCTCTTAACTTGCTAGCACTTTGTCTCATTTACTTATTTCACTCAATCCATGCTATCATTTGGACTCCAGTCTAAATGGACTTAGCAGTAGCCTGCTTCTGCAACCCCTCCTCTGCCTTCCCCATAAATCTGTGTAACAAGTTTGGCATTTTGGTCTTAAAGCATCTCAAGCATCACGGAGATAAAGCGAACTTGCATTACAGCAGAGGAAAGGAAAACAAAGTGCTAAAGATTAATCAAAGCTGGAAGAAAATAACCTCATTTGGTTTTCACTCAGGTTTTTGGCAGAGCTTTCTGTTCTGTCTAATTTCTTTTGTGACACCTCTGTGTTTCTCATTAGGCTTTTTTGTTTTACTTTTGAGTCCTAATTCTGAATGGTTTGCTGTAACCAAAAAGGCAGTTGTGAATTGAAAGCAAGTGTCATTCTAGAATACAAATGACAAAACTAGACGATTCAAACTAGATGAAATACTCTGGGGGTTTTCGGCTGTCAGTCATGCAGTCAGCAGTAGTAGAAGTGCTGCTGTGGTGATGGTGTTTTTGCATAATTTGGAGCTTTGAAGACTTCAATCAATAACCTGCTTCAAAATGTTTAGTGAGTAACAGGAGCTCGTTTCAAAATGCCTGAAACAGGTTACGTAATTGTAATGACTCTACACTAAAAACAGGCCTATAACTGATTAGATTAACAGTTGCGTAGCTGTCCTTGAGTTTTAATTAGATCCAGCATTCTGAGAGCTTTGTTCATTATTTGTAAACTATGCTAACCATTTGGCTAGGACTCGCTCGAAAAAGCAGGTTTTCTGATCTCAAGAGACCCTCCTAGCGAAATGAAGGTTACATTAATATTCCCAGCAAACAACCAGTTTCAAAAACATCTGTGAGGTAACAGAGACCTGACTGTCATTGATCGGCAGCACTATCATACTGTGCTTATTTTGTTCAAAGAGCAGATATGATATATATAAATTGCACATTTAATACAAAAACAGCAGTCATGATTCTGGTCTGTGACATTTCATCCATGGAAGATTTAGCTTTATTGCTTTGAAAAGGCTTGCGAAAAATGAAAAAAGCAAACGCACTGACTGCAGACTAGCGGGAAAAAGGGAATGATGCATATATTGGTGGTATCGCAGAATGTGGTTTTTTTGGTGATGTGAATGGGCAGTTTTGAAGCTGTCCAGTAGTGATGACGATTTTTATTTTTACTGTTTTCCGTACTGTTATTTTTGTTTAAAAGTTTCTTGAAGATCACCCCTGAATGAACAGGGAAAAATGCAAAACACACAGTTATAACTTACTGGTTCAAAACCTTGGAAACTCGAGAGGTTATTTTGTAACAGATGGGTATTAAATGCACAAGATCCAGTGGAGGTAACCACAAAGCTGAAAGGAGTGTAATTGCTTTAGAAATGGGCTCTTTTCTTCCTCAAATTCAAGGCTGCAGAGGGACACATAACAAGACCTGGCATTAAATGAACTAAAAGGGAGGGCCTTCACGCAGCCTTAACACTGTGGATGTGAGACAGCCGTTACCTTCATTTCAGTCAGTGACACACTGACTCAGACCTCCATTATTTGGCTCCTCTTACCCAAGTGGACTGCACAGCAAATGATGAAAGTCCAAGTTCATATAAAAGCTGAATAACAAGCATGTACTGTATAATCAGAACAAGCCGTTCCCAGATGAATAAAAGTACATGGGAACATGATCTTTAAGAATTGATATGTGTTTTATGTCATGAAGAATAACTTAGTTAATATTTATGGGCAGAAACAACTGACCCAGATAAACGAACCCGAGAAATGAAACTGATTATCCACGGTGTAGATTATAGTGTGTCACTGTAGACGTACACAAGAAGTTTTTGTTTATCTTGGTTGAACAGGATGATGTTCTGCTATTCTCAGAAAATCCCCTTCTGTGAATTGTCAACCTTACACTACCGGTAATAACTCCACCGGGGCCAAGTCTTTGGAAAACAAAGTCTGCCGAATGCCTTACAATCAGGACAAACAAAATGCGTACAAACAGAGCTTACATGATGCATTGATTCATGTTCAGGAGGCTGACATTTCATCTTTTTTAAATGTGTTTTTTTTCCCTCTCTCTCTCTCTCTCTCTCTCTCTCTCTCACTCACTCACTCACTCACTCACTCACTCACTCACTCACTCACTCACTCACTCACTCACTCACTCACTCTCTCTGTCTCTCTCTGTCTCTCTCTCTCTGTCTCTCTCTCTTCAGCATGCCCTCAGGGCACCTTTAAGTCGTTCCAGGGGGCAGGATTATGTCAGCAATGTCCACTCAACAGTCGCTCCACCATCGAGGCCGCCACCCTCTGTGGATGCCGCAACGGATATTACCGTGGAGACATGGACAAAGCAGAGGACGTGTGCACAAGTGAGTCTCTTTCTGTCAAACTAACTCAAAAAACCAAAAATATATTCTCAGTAAATCTCTTAGAAATGTGAGTGTAATTCTGCTTTGGGACAATCTTGTACTGAAGTAACCACCAGCTGACATATTAAAACACATCAGTGGTTGTCATCACTGACAGTCCAATTTCTCTTCATTAAATTAAAGGACAATATATTCTTTGATTTATCATTCCAGCCATAATTTCATGCACCTCATTCAGATGTGAGCGTGCCGCAATGTTCCCTTGGTTGTTTGGGGATTTGGGGAACAGTAAGTAATAACTCTGCCACACTCCTCAGGCTTTCCATTGAAGTGAATATGTGTTTAGTGTGTTGGAGAGGCTGTATTGCTATGCGAGGCAAGGCACAGAATTTGAAAAACACAGCCTCTCAGTTCCACTGAGAGATGTTGTAAGTAGGTTGAGACATGAATCATTTTGGACTGTCTCTGAAGCTAGTCTCAAACTGTGAAACTGTGTGTGTATAAGTCTGTGTACACTGTGTGTGCTTGTGCAAGTCCTGGTGACCTGGATACAACTTGATGTTTTTCAAAGCTAAAAAAAGCTCTGGTTCATTCATGGGCAGTTCATTATTTTACTTTCTTACATTCATGAATGAATTTGCAACATTTTGCCTGAAGAATATATAAAAGGTAACCCAAAAACAGTCTTTGCTCCAAATCACAAAAGGATTGCTGAACCTCATCAAATATGACAAAAAGGCATTGAGTTACTGCACCTGCAAACGGTGAAATGGACCCCTACCTGCGCTGTCAAGCAAATAGAGTCTCAGTGCTCCTGTGCTGTTTGCACATATTAAAGTAATATGCATACATTTGATGAAAATGTGCCCCTTTTCATGCAAATGAGCCACATTGCAAAAACACTCAAATTCTCTCTGTCACGTTTGAATTTCCTCTCATGAAGATTAGAGGAGTTCCTCACTGCATGTGGTCTGAAAATGTTTTTCTCTCTGCTTTTGTTCTGCCTACTGGGTTCTTGGTGCAAACGGTAACATTTATTATTTGCCACATGAACAATTTGAATCAAATGCAAAAAAAGACAAATTGACGCAGCTGTATGGGAGAGTGATACAAGCGCAATACCTATTGTGATATCAGCCAGCAGGAAGTGGCTGATATCTGCGCTCTCAAGGTGCTAACAGCAGCCGCAATCAATCTTCAAATTCAACCATCAGTGTGAATTACGACAACAAAAATTGTCCAATCCCTGCTTTAAGCCTTGTTTTCCCACCTCAATATATTAATAACAAAGAAACACTAAACCACAAATGAACAAAAAGGTGTTAACATTTGGTCATACAGTATGTGCTGTGCTATCTAATTTTCCTGCATCACCAGCGCCTCACATACTCCCATTAGGGAAATCAAATTCTGGGGACTTTGAGCAAGTCACCCAGCACTTTATTGTTTTTTTTGTAATCTTATATGATGCTCACAAAGAGATAACGAGGAAGTAATTGGTTCTGAACGTGAGTTTTATCAAAAAAAGGTAAACAACTGAATGAATCAGAGACATGATGTGGTCTTATATTAGGTGGAAATTGTGACTGTTTGGCAAAAAAACAACAAAGACAATTCAATTCATATACTATAGAGATCAGTATTGAAAGTCCCCATCATCGTTATATAATATTCCGCAGTCCTTGAGTTGGTTGAATTTTTGCTCACATGGGCGGTGGTGGCGAAGTCCATAGGGACTTGGCTTGGCAACTGGAAGGTCACCAGTTCAAGTCCCGGCAAGACCAAGTGCTACCAAGGTGTCCCTGAGCAAGGCACCGTTCCCTACACTGCTCCCCGGGCGCCGTTCATAATGGCAGCCCACTGCTCCTAACACTAGGATGGGTCAAATGCAGAGAAACCATTTCATTACATAGTACCTGTACTGTGTAATGACAATAAAAGTGCAAAAAAATATAACAAACTGCACTAGAGGCATATCGAGAACAACATTTTCCAGCAACAGTGGTCCAGTTGCTTCAGTTTGATTTAAATATTCCTCTCTGAATGAGAAAGTCAAATGCAGAGGGATAGAAGCCATAGAGGTATAATCATTGTTGTTGTAAAATAGTGATCGTGAAAACATCAATAGAGGCAATAAACAGGGTGAACTATTACCCACACATTTCAGATCTTACACTAAAAACTTTTTCTCATTGCATGTGTCACAACTGATCATTTATTGCAGATGGGAAATCGGAAAGGATTTTTCCACAGTGGTTATGGAACACTTTATGGGTTTAACCTTGTCTGACAACAGAGAAAGCACATGAAAAGCCTCACCTTAAACAAGCTGCAGCATTCTCAAATTGATGCTGACAGGAGAAGAACATCTACTTTGCCAGAGAAAAGGTGTCGGGTGTCAACCTACTTAGCCTAATACTTTTGATTCAAGGGTAAACACACATTGAGTCACAAGGTTTCCTTTTTAACACAAATACTATGAAACCTGTGGGTTTTAACTGCATGACTGGAGGAGCATCAGTTTAATTTTATTTAGTAAAAACTCAATCAAATATAAATTCCGATAGGTGATGTGAAAGTGCAATGTGCAGATAGTAACCTCACAAAATCATTTCCAGGTACAGAAGAGGTGTGTGTGAGTACTGCATCTGTGTGTGTTTTTTTTTAGTGTATTTTGGGTACAGGTCAGATTGATACTGTGAAAGCCACTCCCAGCACAGTGAGGACGTGCAGTAAAGTGGTGGACTGCAGTACAGATAATTCCTCGCAGCAGTACAAATTGACAGTTAAAATGTGATGATATGGCCTTCTTTATAGTAATGCTATTCAGATCAAGTGAGTATTTGTGATGATTATTGTATGAATGCACAGTTAGTGGGCGGGTCCTCTCTCTGCAGGCTTGTTAATTATGCTACTGTTTTTTTCAACTTACCACTCTGTTAGCACTGATTCTGCAGTGTGGGTCTATTACACACACATTAATTCTATATTTATTCCACAGGCCATCTCAGACGTTTCTCATGAAACTGATATGTAACATATGCCAAGGCTGAATATGGCTTTCATTTCTTGTTCCCACACGTCGTGCGGTTGTGTCTGTGTGGGTCTTTGTGATGTGCACGAACAGTCGAGGAGAATTGAACCCGCTAGGTTTAACCTTGTGAAAACTCTGTCTGTGTGTTTAAGACTCGCTTTAACACCCTGAAAGCCAGAGTTTCTGCTCGGATCAAAGAGATGAGCTGACAGAAAGGAGAGACTGAAGCTGAGTGACTGAATGAATAGTGACAGAATAAAAGATTCTCTGGCTGGCGGTGAGTTGTTAGGTCACCTTCTGACTGAGAGAGACAGGGTTGGATAGGTTCTCCACATCTGTAGCAGCAGTACTGCAGTGTCAGTGAAGTAAAGTTATCATCCTCATATTCTCTGTTCAGTGAACACAAGAATCCTGGTTAACTTCTTGAAGGAACACTCACTTAAAGGGGACCTATCATGCAAAATGCACTTTTGTACGTCTTTTATACATGAATATGTGTCCCCGGTGTGTCAGGGAACTCACCAAGTGTCAGAAAACACAACCCTCTCTCTTTTCCTCCATACCCAAATCTCTAAAAACGGGGCTGCAACGGAGCTGATACAGATTTGAAATTGTTCTGACGTCAGAAACGGGGAGCTCCGCCTATATGGGCAACTCTCCACCTATCAGGGGAATGGGGGGTTGGGCCACGGCCACGGCCATTGCCACTCGAAAGCGCTGGAGACGCTGTAGTACATATGCCAGGCCTGTAAGTGGTGCTGTAGTCTGCCACAAAAGCAGCGAAGAAGACTTCTCACAGAATCAGCCCTTGCAAAAACAGGGCTGGAAAAGAGCAAATAGAGCGAAATGAGGCATGGCTAAAATGCATGATCTGTTTGGTATTTTGAAAAAAAAGATTGACAGATATGTTTTATATAGGTATGGCCCTATATATATATTATTCAAATATAGCATGATAGGTCCACTTTAAAGCTAAAATGTGATTCTTCACTTTGATGCCAGTATTGTGCTTCACTGTCCGTACTTTAATGTAGAATATAATGTTGGCAAAATCGGGTGAAGAGAAAGATCACAAGATGGGATGGGAGATGTACTTTTCTGTTGTCACAAGAGTTGTAAGGAGTGTTCAGATGTTAGATGTACCTTTTTAATTTGTATTAAATTATAGCTTATGAGTTGGTAGAGATGGCGACCCATGTACTGGGGCTTGGTACCAATGCTGAGGTTTTCCAAAACACTTTTTTTGCGTGTCATCCCTTCTGTCTCCCCCTTTCAACACTGCAACTTCAATAAAGGCACTGGTTGCCCAAAACAATTAATCCAGCATTTTCCTTAATTCATTTTTTTTAATGTTTCTATACAAATTTAGAAAATGTGCATCACAAAAGAAACAATAACAGGACAGTCATACTCAGCATATGAATGCATAAATGTCCTGTCCTATCAGATATTTCCTTTACTGTCAGTGTGATACTATTTGTCCTTTGTTACTGTAATAATATATCAACTAAAACGTTTCCAAAAATAGCTAACACCAAACAAGCAGTGATTCTCTGCTTTCACAACAGCTTGCTTTGCTATAAAATACCAGACATCCTGTGATAATAAAAAAAACATCCATATGTCAGACATAAGTAGACGCTGCCTAATGAAAATGCAAATTATTTTCTCAAGTGCTCACCATAATGAAGTTTGATTGCATCCAGGTGTGGAACAGTTCATCTGGCAGATTCTGAAACACGTGCTTCACGTGTGTTTTTTCAATTCCTAACGTCCAATCATCTGTCTCTAGGTGTCCCTTCGGCTCCTCGTAACGTGGTCTCAGTCGTCAACCAGACATCAGTGATGGTGGAGTGGCACCCACCGCGGGATATCGGGCACCGTGAAGACCTGTCGTATAACGTCCTGTGCCGCCGATGCCATAGCAACGAGCGCCGAGCGTGTCAGCCGTGTGACGACAGCGTGGCATTTATTCCGGGCAAGCAAGGGTTAAAGGAAACGATGGTGGAGATCAGCAAGCTGCGGGCCCACACATCATACACCTTCGAAATTCAGGTTGGTCCATTGCGCAGAGAGAAGGGCTTTTTTGAGGCTTGAATGGAAATCTTTATTTGGAGTACCACAAGCTTTAGGCTTTAAATGTGTTGAAAGTTAACATGCCTTTTCTGTGGTTTCACAACAGTTGCAATGGACATCAATGGCTCAGATAAATCACAAGAACCTTTGAAAAAAGTATCAAAAAACGTTAAGAAAACATTTCAAAAATCACCCTGCTTCTCTTTTGTCGATCTTGACAATATTGATTTCTAATTACACAATTCTTCACAATACTATTCAATACTTCATAGCTCTAAAACTCAAGGTTGCAATTGAATGTCTGTAACGGTTGTAAATAAAGGATATTCAAGCTGCAACACTCCTTGGAAAAAACAAATACCAAGCCTGCAGAACAGATGAAGAATATATCAGTGGATAGTTCCTTAAATAGTTCACACTACTAGTTACACAATGTTGAAGACATTCATGTTTACAAAGTTGGATCACTGGTCAAAATATGAAGATGCTTCTCTAAAAATTCATTATACTTTTTTAATGAAAACTACAAAAATTATACTTTTTAAACTAGTGTGTTGTCAACTCATGTTTTAATATGCAAATTGCTGCCAGATATTCCCCGTGGTGTTCAAGGACACTGAGGCTGCAAAGATGATTGCTGACAAGTAACATCATGTTCTCTCAAACCACAAGGCCACCCCCCCCCCCCCCCCCCACTATAAAGCCCATAGCAATGTGAACCAATCATCTACAATTGGTCGCCTTTAACATCAAGGCTGGGTGTTTAAATCAAGGTCTACTGCTTTGTAATTGTGAAGGTAAGGAAGTGTGTTGCTTAAATTCTCCAATTCAGACGTGTAAAATCTAGTCTTATGACATATAGTTAATGATTTTTGTATTCAGTAGTGTGGCCCAATTGGTGAGTTGATTCATGAAAGGTCCCATGTCATGCTTTTCCGGTTATTACCCGTCCCCTTGTGTGTTATGAAGGTTTTTATGCATGTAAACGGTCTGCAGAGTCAAAAACCCTCAAAGTACACCCTGTAGGGAGTAAAACTCTAACACAGAAAAGACCTCCCCAAAACACCTCATTGGAGATTTATCATGTTCTTCCTGGGCATCGTGACGTCTGGATACCCAGTTGCCACGCCCAGAGCTATGACGCGATACGGTCATGCGGTACCCGGAACCAAATGGACCAATCCGTGGAGCCGTTACGTTATGTCCGCGGAGCCGTTGCGTTAATCCCCTGCTGATTGGTCCAAATTGACCAATCCACGGACTTCCTCACACACACACACACACTCAGTGCAGGCAGCTCTGTTGATTTCTCCTCCCTGGCTGCAGGCTGATAACAGACAGTTGGGATCGCGGCAAAATTCTCTCTGCAGACCCATTCTCACAGCGTTTATCAACCTTTTTCTTACTCAATATCAAGCCACACTTATTGTTTTTACTTCGGCTGTGAGTTTGTGTGTGCTCAGGATGAGTTTGGCTGTGTTTCGCTGTGTATCGCTAAACAAGGAAACCACACCTCCACGAAGCTCAGCGCGATTCACTACGTCCCGACCAATCGGAGCACACTGTGCTCACAGGGAGGGTGGGGGCTGGAGCGTTTGGAGCTACAACGAGCCGTTAAAGGCAGAGAGTGAAATTCAGTGAACACAAGTAGTTTACAGAGATGCTGTGAGAAACCAATGTGAGTTTGGAAAATTGCACAATATAAATCTATTCTAGTAGACCTCAACAATGGAATTATGATCAGTGGAAATGGCCATGACATGGGACCTTTAAGAAAGTATGGGACGTATACATCTATAATGATGTATGAATGAATGTGTAAATCACTGTCCTGATTGTGAAAGTATTGATTATAATATGATGTGTTTCCTGAAGGCAGTCACACAGAAGTGAATATCCATTGAGATATCCATTCGTTTCTTCCAAATGGTTACATCAAAAAAGTTATTCTACATTGATGCAATAACTATCTGTTTAAAATACTAGTGGTGCAATGTAGAAACATTTGGCAAACTGATATAATTTAATCCTTTTAGACGTAAAAGGAAAGATAAAACAAAAAATTAAATGTGAAATTATAAAGAAACAACACAACATTAGAATTAGAGCTTGGTGTAAGCCATTAAGCTATCATTACTAATTGCCACGCCTTGGTTTAATGATTTGCTGTGACTAAAGACATTGTTCCGACCGTCAAAATGATTAACTGAGCTCACGACAAACAACATGTGGCAGATAATTAGGTGGTCTTTAAACGCACTCGGAACCATTTAATTGTGCCTTTGTGTTGGTGAGATGAGAAAGACACTGAGACAGTTTTATGAAAACATTTACAGCCTTTCTACACGGAAGTAAAATAAAATACATGTTCCACCAAAAGCAGGAAATATATATATAATATGTCTTGCTTGTTCAAGTGTGTAAGCTAAGCAGCCTAACAGGGTTATAGTATTCATAAATAATAGCTTGATATTACAATGTTCATTATTATTCTCCTAAAACACAATACCTCTATAGTAAAATAAAATAATAATAATAATAATACATTTTATTTTTAGGCGCCTTTCATGACACCCAAGGACACCGTACAATTTGTTAAAAAATAAATAAATAAATAAAACGCTAATAGGCAACAAAACATGATAAAAACACAAACAGGAAATCATGGAGGAGACCGTCAAGTGGACACAAATGAAACATATAATTGGGAGCACTACAGTGAGTAGGCAGATTTGAACAGGTGGGTTTTTAATTGGGATTTGAATATGGTGATTGTGTCTGACTGTCGGATGTGCGGGGGGAGGGAGTTCCAGAGTCTGGGAGCAGTGCAGCTAAAAGCCCGAGCACCCATGGTGACGAGGCGTGGGGTGGGGACGGTTAGCAGACCAGCAGAGGAGGAGCGGAGGGAGCGAGACGGGGTGTACTCCTGAAGAAGGTCAGCCAGATAGGGGGGGGGCCAGGTTATGTAGGGCTTTGTAAATAATGCTGATGTTTTCCATGTCTCCTACATGGATTGTTCACCGGAGAAGTTGATGATATCTTGTATTTAACATTAATTGACAAGGTTTTCCTTTAAAATGTGTCAGCGGGAAACATTAAAGCAGTTCATTTTAACATCAGTTCATGAGTTTTCAACCAATTGAGGATTGTACAGCTTTTGGGGCCACTTAACCTTCACAAATAGAAATCAAATAAACTGTGTAATCCTTAAAGCCCCCGCATAAGGGTGAAATTCACCCCTAAGTGTGTAGCAAGCAAATAGCGCCTAGATGTTCCTGTGCTATTTAAGGTAACATATTTTTCTTAAAATTGCCCTTTTGTAATCAAACGAGCCTCGTTCAAAAAACTAAGCTAGAGCCCAAGGAATTACAGTGAAATGAATAGCGTCTTTAGAGCGTTGATAGTAACTGAAGCGCATTTAGACTATAAAGTACATCATGCCTGGACTTTGCAGTGTTTAGAGCAGCAGGGATTGTAGCCGGACTCAATGTCATTTTATTTTGGAATGCAGTGACAGTTGTCTAAAGAAGTGTTGTAAAAAGAAAATGAACAAAACTCTTCTACGTGACATTTCTGAGAATACATGAGAAGAAGAAAAAAGAGACACAAAAGCAAAAAAGGAATTATTTCCTCCATCTCCCTTTGCAAAAAGGGCAAATTGCACTCAGTAAAACGTTTTGGGCATGTAGGCTATAATGTCGTTAGCGCAATATCTTTTGAGAATAGGACAGTGAGACAGAGAAGATAGCACTGGCAAAGGATTCACACTTTATCGCTGTCAGTGACCACAATACATTCTTTGTGAAATTGCCCCTAAATTGTTAGATCAGACAGTAAAATGTGTTGCTGCTGAGAAATGAGAAACCTCCTTTTGTGTATCTCCACCTAAAATCAAGGAACTATTGATTTAGGGATTACTTGGGAGTGTAAAATGTGCTACTGTTGTAAATGTTGTGACATGAAAAAAAGGCCTAGCAACAGTTACTATGGGGGTTAATGTCTATAAGATTGATAAGCTGACCATTACACTTTTTACCCTACAGGCAGTCAACGGAGTATCCAACAAAAGCCCTTATCCCGCCCAACAACTGTCAATCAACATTACAACCAATCAGGCGGGTGAGTGCGGAAAACTGTGTGCAAACATCTGTGTTTGTGTGTGTAAGCATACCCTGGGGCACAGAGGATTATGCGAGGGGTGGCTAGGGGGATAAAGGAAATTGAGCTGCAGCTTTTTTTATTCATAAAACATGTCCTAAGCTTGTCATCTCTCTCTCTCTGTCTCTGTCGCCTCTTCTCTGTCTTTCCTGCATATTCACAGCCTTCATCCTGTTTTCCTCTTTCCCTCTGCCCCTCGCTCTCTGTTCTCTTTTTCCTGCCTGTATCCCCTCTCCCTGCCCTCCCTTCCCCTCCCTCTGTCTCTGACACTGTAATTCTCAGAGACTATAAAGTGAGCTGAGTTACAGCTCAATCAATACTTTATAGAGACAGACACAAGTGATATTTCCACTGCTACCAAATTTAGATTTAAAAGCCGCTTTTCTCCGATTGAAAACACATCATTTACCTCATCTACAGCAACCCAGGCTCATTCCAAATCGAAACATGATCCATTGTCACCCTGCTGCTTTCTGAACGCATTCGTAACTGCTGCCGGATGCAGAACTCTCTTATCCCTGAAATCTTTTAGAACTCGACAAAAACTGATTTATTTTCCGGTTTATTGCACCAGGGGGTTTAAATTATGCAACGCGTTTGAGTGTATTTCATGGGACCTGAGGACATGAACTCACTCGACATACAGCGAACCCTGTAAAATATACATTTTGACAAACTTGAAATGAGTCTTTTTAAGGTGACAGCTCACTCAATTATGACTACAGAGGAAGTACTCCATTTTTGAGGAATCACAGCATTTACTGAGTTTTTTTGGCAGCCTATGATCCCCTGATGACTTTGGGAGATGTATACATTCTCAATATAGCGAACATCAATTTGATACTTTTACCTGGTGTAGTATCAATCCTCACGTCTTCCTCTCTTCAGTGCAGCCTCTCAAGTGAAGTACTGTACAAATGTGATGAAAAACAACTCGTAAAAAGATCCAGGAGGCAAAACCATGAAAATATATTATAGCCAAGAGCTTCTGGTTCTTAAAATTATGGGTGAAAATGCATTGCAGACATAACTCATGCTTCCCCATCAGTGACAAGTGCAGTAATTTGTTTTAACGAGGCTGGATGCGTAAACATTTTTCTCGTCAGGGTGTATATAATCCTTGGCAATATCTCATTACATTACACACTATATTTCCATATTTATGGGGTTAAAGCATGTAAGCGAATAGTTTAACTGCCTAATTGATTGTGTGTGCTTGTGTGTGTGTTTTTTAACAGCTCCCTCTGTAGTTCCCATAATGCACCAAGTGAGTTCAACTAGTCGCAGTTTCTCGTTGTCATGGCCACCGCCCGAGCAGCCCAACGGAATTATCCTCGACTACGAGATACTATACTTTGACAAGGTAGAGTGGGATGATAAATGTTTGTGTGTGTTTGTCTGTGCTTCTGTGCTGTTATGGTCACAGACAGTAATCCATTAGAGTCGATAAAAACAGGAGAATCAATATCAACTACATCGGAGTCATCTATTATCAGGAGAAGCAGCAACACTCTCACTGCTTCTTACAGAACTTTAATAATAAGGGAAAATAATACTGCATGCTTGATCCTTTACAATATGTCTGCCTATGTTCAGGAATATGGACGAAAAGTCACAACAGTTCATTAGGTCTGTACTAATATATGGGTAAACTAACCAATCAAAGGATCACTAAACATTAGGTCAGATGAATAAAACATCCTAAGAAGCGTACACGTTGTCATCCAAGTAATCGGACAAAGAAAGTTATTGTACTTAATAAAAAATAAAAAATTGCAACCTGCGCACATTGAATAGCAATAGCCAGGACACAGTTAGCTTAGTTTAGCTTAGCATGACGATTGGATACAAGTGGACAACTAGATGGGCTCAGTCCATGGTTTAAAATATTCTAAGCTGCTCGTCCAAATGTAACACACTATTATCTGTTTATAGGTTTTTCATTGGCAAATAAATATTGGGGCACATTACCATCCAGTAAAACCACAAGGTTCAAGGTTCAAGGTTCTTTATTTTGTCATACGAACATAGCTACAGTGTAGTTATGCCGATGAAAATCTTAGGTCACAGGCTTCTCCAACAGAGCAACACAATAACACAGATAAACAGAAAAATATAGTGCAAGTAAATATTAAATACAAAAAGAAAAATAGTTTAAAATAGTGCAATAAGAGTCTATAAATAATTACTAAGTAGCAGATGAATGTTATGGATGTTGTTTCAACAGTTCAGGTGTTTAACAGATGTTGTTTCAGCAGTTCAGTTGTTTAGCGGTCTTATTGCCTGTGGTATGAAACTGTCTCTGAATCTGGTGGTTTTAGTCTGGATGCTGCTTACATGTTGTTGTAAAAACATTGTTGACAGTTACTTCGTTTTTAAAGCTATAATTGGTTTATCAGTGAGCTTCAGAAGTTCTGGTAAGCAGATGTTTTTACCTCTCGACAGAGCCAGGTAAGCCAGTCTTTATGCTAAGCTAAGCTAACTGCTTTCAGGCTCCACTTTCATAATGAACAAACCTGTACAGGAGTGGTAACAATGATCTCAGGTAACTCTTAGCAAAATAAACAAATGGGTATTTTCAAAATGTCAATTCCTTTATAAAATAAATAAAGCATTTAAAGGTAGGGTAGGTAAGTTTGAGAAACCGGCTCGAGATCGCTAGAATTTGAAAATACACAACCGGAGAAAATCTGCCACTTCCTTATAGAGCCCCTCCTCCAACACACACGAACGCGCACATGACCAATGAGGGCACGAGATAAGTTTGTGCCCCGATGGAAGGCTGACAGGCAGGTAGGCCATCCAGTTATTTTAGCCGGGCCGGCTAAAATGATTGGTCGTACTTTTTACAGTATTACGGCTTCCACAGATGACATTTTTTTTATGGATTTTTTGTCAAAGCACTTAAGATATTCATTGCTATCGGGATGTTAAGAGCATTCCATGGAATATAACAAAAAGTGTATCTCAAACGATAGTTACGTATGTAACTACGGTTCTATGAATACTGGATGACCGCCAGAGGCGGTGCTTTAGCACTGGATATCTTCTGTCTCGCGCATGCGTAGGTCGAATATTTATATCAACAAAGTCACGTGTGACCCCGTATGACACCGGAAGGTATAAGTTCCGGTGCTGTCAACGGGCTCAGTCCTATGGAATCTTCTCGCAGAAACACGAAATTCCGAGTGACCAAGAACTCTGGCGGTCATCCAGTACTCATAGAACCGTAGTTACATACGTAACTATCGTTCTATTTCATACTTACTGACCGCCAGAGGCGGTGCTTTAGCACTGGATGACCTATATCAACAGAGTCACGAGGAAGTCTGAATACTCACCTATAAGGATGGCCTAGACGGACTCTGCAGGAGGACCACACCCAGCGGGTGAGGGGCGGCAACATTCACCCTGTAATATCTGGCGAATGTGCTCGGAGATGCCCATGTGGCCGCAGCACATATGTCCTCCAGGGGCACACCTCTCCAGGTCGCCCATGATGTGGAGACACTCCTGGTAGAGTGGCACTTTACTCTAGGTGGCAAGGAACGGTCATTCGCCTTGTATGCCTGGGCAATGACGTCCACGATCCAGTGGGACAAGCGCTGTTTTGAGAGCGCACAGCCCCTTCTAGGACCACCGTAACACACAAAGAGCTGCTCAGACTGACGCATGTCAGCGGTAGTCTGGACATAAGCTCTAAGGGCCCGCACCGGGCATAGGAGTCTCGACCTCTCTTCCCCCTCTCCTGATGGGGGGTCAAACCGTGCCAGCTGGATAGGCCGATTAAAATGAGAGCGTGCCAGCACCTTAGGGAGGAACGCTGTGTTCGGCCATAAGGTGACACCTGAGCCATCTGAGTTCCACCTCAGACACGAGCTGTTCACAGACAAGGCCTGAAGCTCGCTTACACGTTTTGCTGAGGTGATGGCAAGAGGGAAAGCAGTCTTAGCTGAGAGCCACTTCAGTTCTGCCTGTAACAAAGGTTCAACAGGAGGCAAGCATAGGGCATCCAGCACCAAGGGCAGGTCCCATGTAGGGGCCCTTGGGATATTCGGGGGGCGAAGCCTCAGAGCTCCCCTTTAAGAAGAGGGATACCAGCCTATGGCTCCCCACTGTGCTGTTGTCAGCCCTTGCGTGTTGAGCTGATATAGCAGCCACATACACCCTGACGGTAGCGGGACACCGGCCGTCGTCCAGGAGGGACTGAAGGAACTCAAGGGTCGTAGGTACCGAGCAATATGCTGGGTCCTCATTTCGCCCTTGGCACCAGTCAAAAAATAGTTTCCACCTGTTTTCGTACTGCCTACGAGTAGGTTGTGCCCTAGCATTTGAGAAAAGTCTTCCTGACAGACTCTATGCAGTCGCTCAGCAGTGGGTCGGGCCCAGTGGCCAGACCCACAGCTGGAGGTGGCAGGGGTCGGGGTGCCACATCCGACCCTCCAACTGAGACAAGAGGTCCTTCCTGTTGGGGAGACGCCAAGGCGTCCCACAGCAGAGTCTGTGCAGCAGATGGACAGGCCCGCACCTAGCTGGGTTAAACAAGGAAGTTTAACAGGACAGCCTAGCCAGGCAGCTGCTGCTAGAATGAAGCAGCGCGTCTATCAGGAGCGGGGGCGAGAACACCGCCCTCACTGGTTGAGTTAATAACGAATGCCAGATGCAGCGTAGGCGGGAGCGGGGTGCGACAACACAGCCTTCACCAGCTACCTGCTGAACGGAAAGAGTAGAGCAACGCTCCTACTCGCCGAACACAAAAGGAATGTAACTACACCCATGTTACCAGCAGAAGGAGCGGGAGCGAGAGCACTGCCTTCACCTAGCTGGAAAAAACAAGAAGTTTTAGCAGGACGGTTTATCCAGTCGGCTGCTGCTAGAATAAATCATCACGTCTACCAGGAGTGGGGGCGAGAACACTGTTTTCGCTGGTTGAGTGACTGTGTCCAGAGCCACCCCAATGAAGGTTAGGCTCTGAGAGGGGTTCCGACAACTCCTCTCCATGTTCACCTTGAGGCCTAGCCGGGCGACATGAGAGAGAAAGAGAGCCGTGTCCTGGATCGTCTGTAACCGGGATGGTGCAGATTAACCAGTCGTCCAAGAGAGGGAGAGTCCAAATGGGAGCACCCTGAACTGGAAATGACGACCTCTGAAGGCAAAGCGAAGAAACTGCCTGTGATGAGGCACAATAGGCACATGACAATAAGCGTCCTTCAAGTCGACCGACGTGAACCATTCCCCCCTGGCCACAGTACGAAGAACGTCCGCTGTGCTCAGCACATGGAAAGGTAAAATCTTTAGGAACTTGTTGAGTCCCCTCAGATCGAGGATTGGGCGAAGTCCACCGCCTTTCTTCCTTACCAGGAAGTAGGTCGCGTAGAAGCCCGGGCTGTGAGATGGGGTCCACAGGCTCGATTGCACCCTTGGCAAGGAGGACTGACAGCTCCTGGTTTAGGGCGATTTATTTTGCCGGGTCGCTTATGGTGGTCATTTTGACCCGGCTGAAGACTGGGGCCAGCGTCGGAACTGAAGCTTGTACCCTTGATTTAAGGAAGCGCTAAGAGCATCCTGCTGCAGGGAAGCTGAGAGGGCGAGCATGAGGTGCCTACACGGCCCATGCGCGCCGCTGCATCGTAAGCCTTAGTGAGCAGGTCATCAGTGACCCGACATTGGAGTCGAGGGCACCTGGCCTCCGACCTCAGGGCTTCGTCAGGGGAAACTATGAGGGAAGCAATGGTAGGCTCAACAGCCGGCGTGTGGTCAAGGCCAACTCTTGCCGCATCCTGCATGGCTACCAAGGCTCGGCCATCGGACGTAAGACTGTAAAGAGCTTTAGTGTCCCTCCAGCATGCATGTAACTCCCTCAGATACTCACAAGAGGGAGGAACAGTGCGGGTGGCGGGTGCCGGAGTGCGCCTAAAGAACGCACTGGCAGGTGCTGTTTCGGGAATGGAGAGCCAAGAGGAGTGACCTCATCTGGGCTAGCTCAGTAGTGAGTAGGTCCACCCTGGAGGACAGCCTATCAGGCTTAGTCCTCTTCTTGGGCGGTGCACCCGCAGCCTCTGCGGCCCAACGCCTAGGATGGGTAGGTTGGGCTGGAGTCGACTGTGCGGGGGGAAGGCCACCCTCAGTCAGTAGTTCAACCTCGGCAGCTCTTACCGCACGAGGCATGATGGTGCAATTCATGCACGGGTCCTCCGAAAGGCCCTCCCTCAGATGCTCGAGGCCAAGACAAGAGGGGCAAAGGTCATGGCCATCCTCTGGTTAAAGAGGAGCCATACAGGTGTTAGAGCCGTTAGACCTAGCGATAGCTAGAGCACTCAGCTGCCTGTAAATAACTGGCCAGGAAACAAATATGCAGTGGAG